GATTACTAAATGCCGTTTCCTGCTGCGAGTATGGCTTAGGAAACGAACGAATTAAACCCAAGAGATGAATGTAGGCTTTAAAAAAACTGTATTGCAACTAACCTGAAATCCTTGTCGGGAGTACAATTTTTCCCGCCAGGCCCGGTTGAATGCCTCTCGGGGCGCCAGCCCGCCCATCCATATGTCTGGCTCCAAGTCGAAGTTCCTGGCCTGAGCACCGTAAAGTACCGGTACCAGCAGTGACTGTTTTGGCAAGATGCCTGCTATCAATATGTCACTGCCTGTCACGGAGCTCTTCGGCAGCGAAGTCGAATCACGACTGAAAGATGAAGACAGGTTATGCGAGAAAAAGGAAGAATGGAAATTGGTGGCGGATTCCGTAATACTTTGGGATGCAGTTGCAATTTTGGGATTCAAAATGGTATCATTGAATATAGTACCGGATGAGGACGTCCCCCTTGACCAGGGACCCTTTGAATCCTGATCCAGTTGGACCAGCGAAAAAACAAGTGTGTTCCGCACCTCATCTTGTCTGTATCCAACAAAAGAAGAGACAAAAAAAGCGAAAAGAAATAGAAACAACATAGGTTAAGGTTTACATTTAGCTAGAAATATCTGTTTCAAAGTATATAAAACAAGTTTACTTTTCTCTGGGCCTATTTATATCACAAGAAATTCAAGGATTATTAACACTTTAAATTTTTCCTTCTTCCAAACTAAGGGGTGATCAAATCAGCCCATGACTTTAGCTACCTGTACAAAAATATAAAGTGCAAAGTTGCAGGATGACTTTCTGAATTTATATTTGCTAAAAGGGAGCATGCATTGAATTGGAATTTCCTTTGATGATTTTCTATCACAAGCATTTAGTATTTTTGCTATTTTATTTAATTCATAGGAAATATACATTATGATAAATGGTTACTTGACACATAAGAGCAACAATCGTCTAGCTATTAATGAAACAGATAGCAGAAAAAGTTAATTTATCAAGCATACATTTTCTGCAATTTAGCAACTTTGCCAGATGGTGACGGAAAAAGTGCCATCAAAGTCATTTATTTGACGCCATCCAGCAAAGCTCTCCGAAAGAGGAGGATCTAAATTAGTTTATCAGTATGTCCCAGCCACTTATACTATCTTTGAGTGTAGACTACCGGATTTTGCGAAAACTCTTGCGATTCATTGTCCCACAACAAAGCAAATCATGGTATACCACAATAAAACCAATAATTTAGTTATAAGAAATGTGTAGGTTTGCAGCCGGCCACCTATTATTGCGCTTTAGTACAATGATGCGCTTTTTTTCACTCTTCCGATGCCTATCACATGACAGGTGAAAACTCAATACAGGTACATCGGGATTGCACGACGGCGGGCCAAGGACATTTTCGCAAAATACAACTGCCTACACTTTAAAGTAATCCTCATTCGGTTTCCGATGCGACAAATTCACGATTTTATTCTAAACGAGAAATCGAGCCACACTAAATCTCTAAGAGATTCCTCGAGACATAACTTATCTTCACATATACGGGGTTTCAGAATATTGCAAATTGTAGAATTAGTTGCAAATTTATGAGATATAGCCTTAAAGCTCTACTTATACACGAAAAATAGTTGCAAATTTGTCCTCATCATGTACATCTAACCGAGAATTCCCAAAAAGAATGATTTAATGCGGATCGGCAAGTAATTGAGAATGAGATTCTGCTAGCTTTCAATTGATGTATTACTCTAGCCGATCCTCATCCTAATATATAGAATCACTTTTTAAAAACCTTGGTATTTTGTCTCTAAAATTAGTCAGTTGTCTACGTTTTTATATTATTCCCTTAACTTGAAGATAGAAAGCATAGGGGCACGATATTTAATCTCATTGGGATAACATTAACGACAGCGTAACTATGACTGAAGTCATCACGATAACCCATTTAAATTATATACGTTAGGGCTTGGGTGACGGTAGCATCAATGACTGCTAAAATGTGAGATGGACGCTTTTAATTTTATACCCAAATTGATACTTTTATTTAAGTCCCCATGGGCCTATTTAAATATTGGATTAAAGAAAATGAAGCACTATACTCGGCCACACAAAAAAAGGCGTGACATAAGAATCAAAATTTTTTTGACACTGTCATAGTTCCAGTCTCACTGGAGGGGCTGATAAGATCTGGGTGAGGTCAAAACTGCATTCCAGCCTGGATGATAATACATCTTAGCAAGCATCCCTTCAACTAACGATGACCAAAAACGGATTCTAGTATTAGCAATCTGAAGCTAAACAGCATTTCCGCACCATTCTTCTACAAGAATTTAAACCTATCTACATCCTTTGCAAAACAATCTTCTTCTTTCATCCCATCCAAGGCAGATCGGTGCTTTGCACTAAGTTTAGGCTAACAACATTTTCCAGTCAAGGTTGAGTAATATGAAGATATATAGAGCAAGATCTTGTGACCTCTACTTTAGTCGTAGCTTTCTTTCGATTTATAGAAGTGGTCCTACCTCATTTTCGCAACTTGGTCGTGCTGTCAGGGAGGTTTAGTTGTGCGCACCTTGTCCGAAGTCCTCTGCTATAGTATTTATCATAGTTCCAAACGTCTGACTGTGGACTTGGTACATTTCCACACATTTCGCCGTCATCGTAGCCGATATTTTAAGTAAGTTTATCCTCTTTGACGAGTTGACGCTTGGAGCTGAGAATGAAAGACTCACAGACGATATCGGCGAAATATCTTAGAATGTACCAAGTCCATGATCCGACGCTGGAAATTATGATAGCTACTATTGCACAGGAATTCGGACAAGATGTATCCAAGGAAGTCTTTCTGAAAACAAGACTAAGCAGACTTTATTCTTTGCACTTAAGTCTGGAAGCCTGGAGAAACCTGGATATAATCATTTGGAAAAGAACATCTAAATGATCTGACAATAATTCAAGTAGATCTTATATAAAGGATAAATGCCACTTGCAAATAACACAGGCGCAATTTAGAAGCTGAAGAAGTTGATGAATTTATCTTTATACTTATACTTGAAAAAAGCAGCAGTGAAGAAGACGCCTAGGCAATTTAAACCAGAAATAAAAGTCTGGACTTGTCGAGGTATCCAGATAATTCCCTTAAAAGGGTAAACATATAATCCGATGTGTTTCTAAAATTGTGCCAACATCTTGAAAAAACTGTTTAACTCAAATCCACAGTCTAAGATTTGAGTATTTTGATTAAATTTCTCAATTATCACTCAATTATCACAACTATATGCAAACTCTCCCTATTGGAGAACTGTAGCCACCGAACTGATTTATTTAACTTTGTACACAGTTTAAAGTCCCGCTGGCTTCGGCTCGATTCCATGTATCCTTGTGCATATTTGCAACATAACTCTCCAGA